CGGGCCCAGGTGCCGCAGCGCGAGCAGCGCGTCCGCGAACGGAACTGGCAGCAGGCGCGGCAAGCCCATTTGCGTTTCCACGCGGTGCCCCGGCGAGCGATCTGAGATCAGGTCCGTGCCCGAGACCGCCGAAGGCCGGGCGCCCGCCGGGGGCTGGGCTTCAGGCCGCAGGGCGCAGATGCAGCTGAGGGTGCTCTACCATCCGCGGGGCGAAAGCGTCGGGCGGACGTCGCAACCTTCGCGCGCCGCCTCGGCATCCCCGCGCGTTTGGGCGAGGTGGGCCTGGTCAGGTCGGGCGGCGCCGACCTCTCCGCAGGGCGATTGCCTCGGGCGGCTGGCAGCGGGCGAGTTGGAAGTGCTCGTGGTCTCGCCGCCCTGCAATCTCTCGCCGAGGGCGGCGCGGACAAACCGCCGTGGCCCGCTCCGGCTGCGGTCAGCGCAGCGCCCGTGGGAATCCCCTTGGCCGGGGGGCTGGGAGAGGCTGAAGTGCCGGGTGTCCGACCATGCTCGCCGACATCGCCCTCCGACCGCTGCGAGTGCAGTTGGCGAGCAGCGGGCGGGCAGCTGGCCTCCTAGAGCAGCCCGAGGACCTCGGCTCCTCCCAGGCGGGCGACATTCGCGGGTGGTGCCCTGCCGGCGTGTGGCAGCGGCCAGTGGTGGGCGGACTCCTGGACTTCGACGGCGCGCGTGCCGCGGCCCGCCGCTGTGACAGTTTCGGCGCGCCGCGTCCGATGCCGACGCGCCTCCTCGGTTGGTCTCCAGGGCTGGCCGCCGACCCGCGGCCCTGCGGCGGGCGCCCGCAGTTCCGCGCGAACGGCGAGCGCAGGCCCGGGGCCGCTGCCGCCGCCGTGGCAGCGCAGGCGCGCCCGGCTGGGCCAGCCCGAGCGAGCCATCGGTTTTCGTTGGGGGGAGGTCCACGAGGAAGCCAGAGGGGTCATCGAGGGCTGGCTTGGAGCAAATGGCCGAGCAGGCCGCGGCAACGACCTTGGCTTCGTCGTAGTGGGGCCGCCCGCCCGCCCCCGCCCGCTGGCCGCGCTCCCGCGCGAAGCAGGGGCCCCCGAATCAGGCTTGATGAAGAAGCTGGAGACAGGGGTCGCAGCGGGCTTCCTGCGCCCAATGCCCGGGCGGGAAGTGCTCTTCGAGGAGCTCGCGAAGTGGCGCCCCGATTAGGGGGCGGCCAACTTGGCCGCCCCAGACTCGGCCATCTACAGCTGCGCGGAGGACCGTGGCGACTGGCTCCGAGAACACCTCCCGGACGAGGTGAAGTTGGGTTAGATGGTCTCCACGAAAACTGCGCACTGGCGGTCTTGGCGAGCGCGAGCAGCAATAAGCGATTCGCGCGCGATGGCGCGGCGCGCGCGAGGTCGCCTCGACGCGGTGGAAGGGGCCGCCAGGGGGCGCCGAGGCCCGCGGAGAAGAGTTGAGCTACCCATGCGACCACCCTTCGGGTGATAAGGAGGTTGGGTGGGAATCAACTGAGGACAACTGCGATGATTATGATGGTGGCGCGGCGATGCCGGCGATGCGCTCGCGAGTTCTCCTGGCGATCCCCCTCTGTCGATATCACTTTCGATCCCGTGGCCGAGCGGTCGGTGTTCCGGTCGAATTCGGCTAATCGGTTCCAGTTTCCCAGTCGCATTCGACCGATGTCATTATCGGTTTCGTTCCATTGATGTCACTATCGGCCGCTCCGGTTGGCGTCTCCGATTCTCGTCGATCTCTTCCCCCAAGTAAGCGATCCACCACTTCGATGCGATCGGGGCACCATCGAGGCACCGCCATGCCATCGGGACACCATCGGGGCACCGTCGGGGACGCATCGGGACACCAGGACAGCGCTGGGGTACCATCGGGGCACTAATCGATATGCCAGCCGTTACAGCACCAGGACACCAGGACACCATCGGAACACCAATCGGGGCACTTATCGGATCCGCACTTGGACACGATCGAGACACCATCGAGCACCATCGAAACACCACCGGGGCACGGTCAAGACTGCAATCGGGACGCCAATCGGGACGACCACGGGACACCACTCGAGACACCAATCAGGACACCGGCGGGGCACCGACAGAACGCCGACGGAACGCCGACGGCGGGGCACCGACAGAACGCCGACGGGGCGCGGGCGGGTCACCGACGGGTCACCGACGGGACACCGACGGGGGACCGACGGGGGACCGACGGGACACCGACGGGGGACCGACGGGACACCGACTGGACACCGCCGACGGGACACCGACGGGACACCGACGGGACATCCACGGGACACCGAGAGCACGCCGACGGGGCACCGCGGCGGGGCGCCGCTGGCCGCAACTCGAGGACGGTGACGGGACGCCGACCGGACACTACGGCGGGACACCACGGCGGGACACCCCCAGTCACGCCGGCCCACCAGAGAGGCCGTCTTTTGTTTCGACCCGGTTTAGCACGGCGGTGTCATTCCCTTCGCCCGCCCAATCAGCTTCTCCCCGCCCGCGTGCGCGACGCGAGTCCGAAACCGAAACCGATTTCCTGTTGGGGGGCCTTCCTTTCCACTTGGGTCCTCACCCCCCAACCTCCGACTACAGCGGCCAGCACGAAGTCATCTTCTCGCTCGTCACCGACATCATGGGCGCGCATCGGCTCATCACGATCCGCGATGACGAGTTGGGCATGCTGTCCTGTGATTTCGAATTGGAAATCTACTGCAACTTCGTCGGCACCTTCGGCATCTCCAGCGCATCGGAGTGGTGGGCCAGTCTGTTCGGCGCCGTGTTGCGGGCGATCTTCTGCTTGTTGGCCAGTGTCTGGCCCGTGGGGCAGCTCGCTTGTGCAATCCAAAACCTGGATAGCGACGCAGTCCGATGCGCTTAAAACGCCTGTGGGAGACGCCTGCGAGGACGCTGGGAAGCATGCCTGTGGAGTGTGCAATTTTGAGAAAATGTCTGTGGGAGACGCTTGCCAGGACGCTAGAAGGCATGCGCGGGGAGCTTGCAAGCTTCAGAAAGGAGCTTCGCAGGAGCTTCCAAGGTGCTCCGGCAGTGCTGCGGACAAGGCTTCAGGCACGCGTGTTGGGAACGAGGCGGAAAACGCTTGCCGGAACACGCTGCGAGCTCAGTCAACTCGTTGCGGGAATGCCCGCCCCGGGAGCCTTGGTTAGGAACTGGCGTAGCCCTGCCAGCTGGCTTTCTATCTGAAGCCCAATTTGCTCTCCAAGGAGCTATCCGGGAACCTGCGCCGACGACCTGGGAGCGATCGTCTCAGGGCGTCGCGAGAGATTGTAGCCGCCTTCCTCCTCGGCGTCTTCGGCCTCTTGGTGTAGAAGGAGAGACGCGGGGCGGCTTCAAAGTAGATTGGAGCGGCCTCCGCTGCGACTGCACCTGCGCCCTGGGTCTTGGTGGCGAGGGCGGCATGGGTTGCAGCCTGGTGCCTGGAGCCAGTCGGGAGCGGCACCATTCATGTGAGCGAGATGGCGTTGGGCTTGGGGCGCCAGGGCTTTTCGCAACAGTGGTCTTCGTCTTGGAGAAGCCGCTCGTGGGGCCCGCGTGCGCCTGGACATTCCTGGCCCTGCGCGGTCAGGCTTGTGCTGGCGTGGATCGGCAAGCTCGGTGCCGCGCTCATCGCCGTCACTTCCTTCCCCACTTCACCGCCATCGCATTGGTATTCGGGTTCATAGAGAATGCGCCCCTGTGTTCCAACACGTAAGTGTCTCCTCCTCATTGCTCGACGTCTGTTGCCAATCGGGCTCAAGCGAGCGTTCCTCCGATTTTGAACAACCTTCTCGTCGCCCTGGGGCATCCAGTTCCTGGGAGTGGCAGGGGCCTTGAGCCAGGCCCTTGAAACCGCCACCAGGGAAAGAGGAATCTCCCTCACCTCCTTCCCCTATTTTGCTGCCATCGCACCGCTATTAGGGTTCATCGAGGATACACCTTGTTGAGTTGTTCAGTCTTTACCATTCAAGTGTTACACGCGGTGGGGGCATTGGTTAAGGAATGTGCCCAGGAGCCGTCAGACCCTGGGGGAATCCTTAGCTAATGGGGGCGGTGGCGATACCCCTGGCCGATACACAGTTGGAGTTTCACTGGCTTCCAAGCCCCGGATTCCTTTCCTTGTCCAAGTTTCCTTATCCAATGCCTCCGCCGCATTCCTGGCCAGCCCCCCATATAGGCCCCCAGTGCACGAAATAATTTCCCCATTTAAGGAAGGCTATCGTGATGGATGCGTGGGCGAACAAGCACCCCAGCTTCTCGTCTTTGTGCCCAGCGACTGTGCGCCCGGCCCCCGCCCTCCAGAGGTCTCTGGAAGCCTCCAGACAGTCCTTCCTCCTTCTCCTCCTCCTCCTCCTCCTCCTCCTCCTCCTCCTCCTCCCCTTCCTCCTCCTCTTCCTCCTCCTCTTTCCCCCCTCCTCGTCGTCGTCGTCGTCCTCCTCCTCCTCCTCCCTCTCTCCATTCCCTCCTCCTCCATTTATTTCCATCAAGTCCCCCGAGGCCCATAGATATCGAACGTGGCATGGGTTAAAATCAGCGCCAAACTTGCCTCAATTTCTGAGTCTCCGACCCTCTGGGGGCCGACACGGGGCCAGAGCGATTGGGATCCAGAAGATCGTGCCGCATCGCCGACGCACTGGGGATGTGGTGCGATTTGGAGCACAAGCTTCTTCACCCAGACGTCGCCGATGCGTTTTCAGCGCACCACCGATGGCGTGCAGTCTTCCCGCCCATTTGCTCTGGCCCATCTTGTGTGGCCTCCATTTCCCTCCCCCATTCGGGGGTTCCGACGTCGTGTGGTGACGGACCGCGCGGTGGCTTCCAAGTCACAAGAGACCTCACCGCGCAGTCCGTCATTACACGGTCTTGAGACTTCGGAGGCCCCGGTCACCCGAGACGTCCTCGGATGATGACCCGCGTCCTTGAACCGTGCGGTGACCCCGCATCCCCACTGTTGTCACCACGCGGCGTTGTCACCACACCGTTTGGGGCCCCCCTCTCCTCCCCGCCCCGCCGCCGCCTCAGGGCCCGCGCCGTGCGGCGAAGCGGCTGCCCGAGGGGCCTGGGCGCTGGCGCGCAGGCCGCTCTGGCATGCCTCAGACACGCTCGGGCTTTCTGCGACGCCACGGGCGGCAGCGGTCCGAGGGGGGAGGCGCACGGGCGGCAGTGGTACGGGGAGCACTGACTCGGGCCGGCCGCCCTTGCACGCTTCATGTGCAGCCAGGCCCTCTGCGACGCCACGGGCGGCAATGGTCTGGGCGGCAATGGGGCGGACGGCCCCTTCTTCACCCGAACGGCCAGAACCGTTCGGGCCGTTGGGGTGCAGAATGGGATGCAGGGGGTGGGCGGTCTCAGACTGGGAGACCAGAGACCCCCCCATGAGCTCTCGATGCGAGCCCACGGGCTTCAGATTTGGATTCAGGGGGCTTGCGTTTTGAGCATGGCGATCCTCTGAGGGGGCGGGGAGGCGGGGAGGAGATCAGGAAGGAACAGGAGGAGGAGGAGGGGCAGGAAGAGCAGGAGGAGGAGGCGGAGGAGGAGGAGGCGGAGGAGTAGAAGGAGGAGGAGGAGGATTCATAATAATCAGCATATTCGTAAATTCATGTTATGCATAATAAACACAAATATGATACTAACACTAATACTAATAGCAAGAACGTAACCCGTTCAACAGTATAACACTATAAGTAAGATGAATACGAATCGTCACCAGTAGAATAAGCACAGCAGTAATACTACCAATAATGCAAATGTGCGGATGCTACGTATAATTCCCATTGTAAGTATACGACGAACACTAACAACCATAAACTATCATTCGCAATCGTATCAATGAATACAGCACCGCTAGTACTAGTACGCATACGAACAAAACCAACACTTACCAGTGCCTGGCATCGCACTAATACCAACAAAACGAAGACGATCAGCACTAATGATACGTCTGCGAATATTAGCACGAACGCTGATATTATCCATCACATAAAGAATAGCAATGCTAGTAACACTGAAATTCATACGATGAGCAATGATATTAGTATCGGTTGTACTCATAATCGCACTATCAACGGTGGTAATCGTCATACTACTAACTACAATGGTATTACCTGTAGTCATGGTGCTACGAGAGCCAATGCTAATCGTATACACAAGCATGAGCATCCCCATCGTAATCGTAATCGTATCAGTATTAAGAACAATGTTCATAAACTTATGTTTAGTGTTTCCATACTATCCGTACCAATGATGAAAGTTCTGGTAGGCATAATGATCATATTGTACATAATTTTGGTAAAAATAGACAGCTAGTACTCATGCTCGTATTCTTACTAGTAGTAGTAATAGCAGTAGTAGTAGTAGTAGTAGTAGTAGTAGTAGTAGTAGTAGTAGTAGTCGTAGTAGTAGTAGTAGTAGTAGTAGTAGTAGTAGTAGTAGTCGTAGTAGTAGTAGTTGTAGTAGTAGTAGTAGTAGTAGTAGTAGTAGTAGCAGTCGTCGTCGTCGTCGTCGTCGTCGTCGTCGTCGTCGTCGTAGTCGTAGTCGTAGTCGTAGTAGTAGTAGTAGTAGTAGTAGCAGCAGTAGTAGCAGTAGTACTCGTAGTAGTGTTAAGGGTCAGTGGTGGTGGTGGTAGTAGTAGTAGTAGTAGTAGTAGTAGTAGTAGTAATCGTAGCAGCAGTGGTCGTAGCAGTAGTCATCGTAATCGTAGTAGTAGTAGTAGTAGTAGTAGTAGTAGTC